CAGATTCCAGATTTTCAAATAGTTGTATCTCGGCCAAATATTGTCCTATCCTAACAAACCATACATCAATGGAAAGCTGATTTATTCATCTTTCAGATGATGTATACATCTCAATTTTTAAAAAAATTGACCCTTATGACTGGTTTTGTGGTCCAGGGTCACACACACACACATAATAATGTACATATATATATATATATATATATATTTACAGTATATATGAAGTATATATAAAGTGAATATTCAGCTAATCACATTATTTTGAGTTTGTTTGATTCTTAATAGTCTATCATGATCATCACATTTTACTAAAAACTCAAAGGCTTTGACTGACATGAGTGCAGGTAAATGATGCCGGGATGTTTATTTTTTGGGTGAACAAACACAATCACACAGAAAGCAGTCTGATGTGTGTCGAGCTGAAGGTCTGACCTGCGGCGCTGCTCGACTGCCAGCTCTTGGCTGCGGCTGGAGGGACTCCGTTGCCCTGCCTCGGGGCACCAGCGGCCGCTTTGCTCATGGTTTTGACTGAAGACGTGGCATGAGAACTGGGCTGAAGCTCCTCTGTGGCCTCGCTGGAGAGAGAGACAGAGAGAAAGTGACTTGCAGTGCTGCTAGACCACAAAGCAAACACTCAAACATGCATCAGAAATCTCTGAGAGCAGATAGTGTTTCTACATTCAGCCTAGTGTGTGCGATATATATCGTCTGCAATAATATTGTAATCGTTGTTTTAACGATGTGCTATTTGACATAAGAGTATATTGCAAAAACCAAACAAAACACACCTACAGAGTGCACACTTACATTACGTGATGAAGTCTAGTAGGTTAGACTAGTGCGCGTGCGAATTTAGAGTGTGTTCTTTCACTGCATGATTCAGCCTAATAAAATGCATTTAGAATGAGTTAATCAATAATATAGTTATATAGTTAATCAATAACCAAAAATCAGCATGATTACAAATGTGATATTGATTTTATACAACAGTTCAATAAACAAGAAGTTAATATTAAGAGACTTAGACACCATATTGCCTGTTTTTGCGCTATTTCGGCAACAAAAATTATTCCAAACACAGCCACAGCACAGTTTTGCGTCTCTGAGCAACATGACGGTCTTTCGTTCCTGAATGAATCAACTGTTTAAATGATTCGGTTCAGTAGCAATGACTCACTTATTAACAGTGACTTGCTGCCACCTACTGGCGGTTTT